AGACCAAAGAGGAGCTATATGGATGCAGTTAGAGAGGACATGGAGGTGGTTGGAGTGAGGACAGAGGGAGATGGAGGAGGATGACTCGCTGTGATGACTCCTGGAAGGAAACAGCTAAACGGAAAACTTCTCAACAGAGCGTTAGCTTGTCGGTAGATTTTAGAAACAAATGACCCGTTCATCATGACAAAAGATTTAACTTTTTAAATATAAAGCAAACCCCAAAAAGAAATTACCAAATAAAGGCTCTCATTTGAATCTTGTGACTGAATTTGATTGTGTGATGGCTTTATGGTGGTCCTGTGCTGATGCCCACTGGAACAGAGACTCCTATTCATTGTAAAGTTGGAAACCTCAGAAACATTTCATCATCCAGGCATCACTAAGACGTGACCTTCAAGTAGAAGAAGACGTTACAGGAACTGCTTTCCTCAGAACTTCACTTATGAGCGTGACAACTCTGCTTTGTTGCTCCTGATCATTGATGGTTTCACTGGACGTTCAGTAATGATCCTCATGCCATAAACTTGATTATTTGTAGGTATAAACGATACATTTAATATGACACTGTACGTAGGACACATGATAATGGAAACTGTTACAATTATAATTTGGGCTTCACTGTAAAAGGCTTCAGTTCTCATGTGAGGTCTTTCTTCTGATGTCTTTAGCTGATTCACACGTGTCTCAATGTTCTCGTAAATGCCCCAATAATTGTAATAATTTTTTTAATCACCTCATAATCACCTAATTTCTTCGTAAACATTGATTTTGCACTCCCCCTTCAAGAACACAGATAAGGGTCCAGCTTTGTCTTTAAGAAAATTAACTCAATGGTTGCCTGTAAGAAATCCTTGGAGCCGGAGTCCAAACAAGATCCCATTGCCTTTCAGTGAATAACTTTACTTTGAAAAAAATGTTGGGGTGATGTATCAGAGTACACTCAGAAACATTTTTTAGGTATATATTGTTTTTGCCTTTGTGTTATTATGTGAAAGGGGCTGCGACAGAGCGTGAAGATGACAGGCAGCAGAGTAAAGAACAAAAAGGGGTATCTGCAGGCAAATTCGGAAGGCGTATCTGGGCGGTCATATCTGATTGGACTACAGGAAAATGGGCGTATCTGGGCGATCATATCTGATTGGACTATATGAAAATAGGCGTGTCTGGCCCGCCGCATCTGATTGGACGATAGAAAAATGGGCGTGTCTGGCCGGCCGCATCTGATTGGACGATAGAAAAATAGGCGTGTCTGGCCGGCCACATCTGATTGGACGATAGAAAAAAAGCTGAACGATAAAATGCCGTAACCACAGACACATTATGTCTAAAAACAAGGTGTTATTGGCAGATTGTGTTAACCACAGGCACATTATGTCTATGGTGTTAACCGGTTCGACATTAGCAGCGTCTCAGGTTCAACACTGGCGGCGTCTCGGTTCAACATTGCTCCAGTATACTGCCGCGGCGTCTCCATAACTTCTTTTTTCGACTCTCTTAACACAGAATTTCCGGTTACATTTAAAAATAAGAGCAACATAACTGGGTAGTGGGGAGAGCTAAATGTTAGGGGGTTTTTTTTATACCTAGCCATAACATTAAAAAACAAATTCCATTTTGGTTGTTGAAAAATGTGAACAAAGTTACAATCGATTCATAAAGAAAGAAAAATATAAATGATATTTAAACTGGCCTTGGGACAAAGGATGTTTCCTTTAACTTCACATTGTCTTGTTCAACCTGCAGTCACTGCAGATGAGTGATTTGTCAGTTTCTGTAAGATTTCTGCAACTGGAGCAGGTATTTCTGTTTACTGGTTAACTTCCTCAGCTGTCTCACATTTTAAAGGTCAACCCTACTCCATGTTTCAGTAGAAAACCAGCACATTTAGGAGTCAGTACATAACCAGACTTTTGGCCCTCACACCTGTACCCAGTTGCTTATGCTGCATGATGAGATCAGATTTATCCATATTTTAGAAATTACATTTAGCTTAGTTGACAAAACAATACAAATGAAGACCGTCTTAAAAAACCTCTTGGTTTTGCAGTAAGCAGCCTGATTTCAAACTGACATCTTGGCCAAAGGTAAAATAAAAATCTTTGTGTTCTCAGAAAAGTTGTTTCAGGACCTCCAATAAACTTATGTACACATCAAAGCACACAAGACAGATTCAGGAATTCTCTTTGTTTTCCAGATTTCACATTTGTTATTACCTTAAAACATACTC